CATTGACATTGGCTACCATTGACACTACAATGTCCCTCCTTTTCTCTCACCTGCACCTAGGATGCTACAAGACGCTGGATTTATGTGCACCTTAATTTGCACCTAGGCAAGCATCTCTTGCGCTTTTTACTACATTGAAATATTGAATGTGGCGATATTTAAAAAAATACACTATGCTTATGTCAAAATCAGGTTTAAAATCTTATTTTGATCCTTGCAAACCATATAAAACAGGGAATATATCAAACTCTTACGGTTGTATCGAGTTTCCAACCAATTGCAGCTGCTGCTACTTCCATTCCGATGTAGCCACCCCCAACCACTACGACTTTCTTTGCTTTCTCCTAAAAACAATATTACCTAATTGGATTACCAGTAATGCCAAATCATTTGCCCAAGTTTCTGTTAGATTTCAATCTTTAGTTGAAAGAGTGTTCACTCCAAGCTTTCTAAAGACTAAGGACAAATATACCAACGAGGATATAAGTGAATTGGCATCTGCCACATCCCGAATATAGTGAACACCAGGTAAATGCCCTCCGACTTTTTCAGGAAGACTGAGAAAGAAATAGTATTCAACATTAGAACTTAGAAATTGACGTTGATTAGCAAAGAGAAGGTAGAGCAGAAAAAATTACTATGATACCTGGAGGATGTACAACCAGTAGCAATAATAAGAGTTCCATACTTGAGCAACTTTCCTGAATTTGTTGTCAATGTCTGTTTTTCTATATCAATGCCTGTTACCGGATCTTCATACAACATCTGCACATACAAGAACTTTGATAGTATGATAGGCAGCAAGAGCGCACACAAGATAATGATAGGTAAACAAGTTTGCGTCTCCTAGCATACATGAAAGATATCCAAAAAGAAATAATAATAATAATAATAACAATTGTTATTATCCGTACTAATAGTGAATTATTAATGATAATATTAATAATAATAAAATCACCTCTATTCCTTTCTCATTGTACCAGTCCGGAGTCTGCCTCTCCCAACATGAGCCAACACAAGTATGGAACCCCTAACTCACAAAATGGTAAAATAAAACCTCAGTGAGGTAAAAGAAAAAAGAGGAAAAAAATATGTTACAAAAGACATGTGCAAAAAAGGAAACTGAATCTCTTTGTGATTCAGTTTGGTGACTTTCCTAGCTTGATATAATTCTTGTTATAGTGGGAATAGAATTTACTTCTTTCTTTTGCCTTTTCCTATTTAAAGAGGATTGGGTCTTTGTAATCTCTAAGACAATTCAATACAGAAATACTTTTTCATTACTATTTTTTACATGGTATGGGAGCAAGTTTTCGATTTTTGAGACCTCAAACACACTTCCACTCTCTTGCCGGTGGGCATACGCACTTCAATGCCTATTGGCGGGATATCGTGATCTTTTTTCTCCCCGAATAATCGTTAGGGGTGTCTATCTGTGGCGTTTAAATGGCATAGCGCTATCTACATCAGCCTCGACCGCCATGGCAACCACCGTAAGTACGCTAGAGACAGCCGCCACTGCACGCCATCCATAAAGTCGGTATGACACATAGTTGTTCCTCCTTGGCGAAGAATGGCGAAGAACATGACTGCTGAGGAACCGTAGTCACTAATCAAGAAGAAATCGTCCGAAAAGGGTTGTCGTGCTGGAAGCAGAGAATTTCTCAATGTGCAGGCATTTTTGAAAAAAAAATGGTGTTCACGATGTCTGAAAAAATAGTGTTTCGTTCGTTTCAATTTTGTGAAGGCTCACAAAGAATGGTGTTCCTTTACTCGATTGATTATTTGGAGGATACGAAAAGAGTGGTGTCTCCGTCGAAGAAGAAGAAAAATTAGTTGTTGAAGTGTTTAAATGACAATTGAACAAAGATCATATGATTATGCGTTGTCCAAGCTGGGCACTCGAAAATTCACAATCCCCACGCTCCAGCTTGAGGGGGGTAGTTACGAAAGACATATACATTAAAGGGAACTGTATCCCTTTGGGACTTGGTCAGGTGACTTTCCTATTTTGATATAATTCTTGTTATAGTAGGAATAAAATTATGGTAGGAATAGAAGTTCACTTATTTGTTTTGCCCTCTTCCTTTATAAAGAGGGTTGGGTCTTTGTAATCTCTAAGGCAATTCAATATAGAAATATTTTCTCATTGTTATTTTCTACAAAACAGATCCTCAGTAACGTCTGAACTATGTTAAATGTTGTTACTTGTTAACAACTTGTAGTATTCATGTACATAACAACTGTAAAAGTAAATTCAATTGAGTAAGATGCACCAAAGCAAGAACATAGAGCTCACCGGCAAACGTGAAGGGTTTGTATCCAAAGAGTTTAGATACCCTTTTGTCAATGCTGGACGTTCATAGGGGGCATATGCCTGTATTCGTACATAAATAAAGTCACTCCAGCAAATTCGTAACCACCTTGATCCATAAGTATTACTGTAGAAGAATTCATCACAGTAGCAATAATACTTCCCCTCGTAGGAGCATCTTTAAAAGCAAACAAAATGATTACAAACCCTTTCTATAAAACAGAAATCAGAGGTACAGACAAGTGGAGTATTGACAAAAAATTAATGTGCTCAAATGTAGATTCATTGTGTTGTTTATGAAATCAAGAAAGGCAATCATTTGAGCTTTGATCCACGCAGGCAGTGAAACACCTCTTTTGATACAATGCATAGCTTCCCATTAGCCTGTCCATGCTCGACAAAGGTCCGAGCAGCATATCCAGCTGAGTTTCCTCCTCCAACAATCACATATCTAGCAATCAATTATATAGATTTCAAACTCTCTATCACAAGAATCACAACCAAATAAGAGAATCAGTAATGCAATACTTACTCTCGATTTTCATTGGCGAAATTCGGAGAAGCAGCTGCAATGAAGCTCCTCCAGAAGGTTCTGAATGGGGGATGAGGATTCCGATGGAGAGAAGACGATAGCGGACATCGCAGAGAAAGGCCGTGCTTTAACAGCAATGCGCTGCATCGAGACGCCATTAAACTACCAACTGTAACTTCCAGAAATCAATAGGTCATAAAGAGATTAGGGAGAGCCCTTCTCAACTGAGGAACTCAATCCAAACATATAGGGAGCTGATAACATCCTGATTTACTAGTTACATACCAGTAGTACTCGAAGTAAATATTCATTTCAAAACATGTAATAGTCATTCTGAAATAAGATAGTACTTATTTTAAAATAAAGTACTCTTTTTACACATTTATCTAATATAATTATAATAAATAACGTAGTGTTCATTCTTTAAAAAAAGCAATACTCATTCTCAAATAAAGAAATACTCATTCTCGGATAAAGTATTCTTCAATTCTTTCACAATTGAAAAATTAGTACTATCATCATCCTTACGCTTACAAAAAAGCATGAGAAGATGAATCGGGGAAATACCACCGGAACAAAGCAGTGAAGCAGATTTTGGCACACAATACGAACGAACAAGAGTCTGTTCGTTCGATTACCGTCTGATTGGGAGAGACGGAAATACGAGTGAGGGCGATCTGCGCTGCTCCTTCGTCGATCTGATGCGCTCCCCTTCTCCATCTCCGATCTAAGATTTCTGTTTCGTTTAACTAGCTATACCCAACTTTGAGTACAGGCGGTTGTATAATATAATGTGCGGATATTAGTGCTAGGCCTTTATGAAAGTGGATCGGATTGCCCTTTTAGTAATTTAAAACTTCTTTCAGTTCTTTGCATTTGTGTAACACTCCGTATAAAACTCAATTATCCTATTTCTAATTTAAAAATTTAAATTTTTAGATAAATTAAAAATAATCTATTATATATGTTGGGGATAAAACACACAACACACACAAATAATCTGCAAGAATCAAGAGAGAAACGGAACACAAACGACACACAAGAATTTAACGTGGTTCGGTTTCCCTAATCCACGGCTGCAACAGGAGGAATTTCTTATTTCACTTGTGGTGTCGATTACAAGTACAAGTATGCAATATATATAGGAAGAGCGCAACTAGGGTTACAAAAAACGGGTCGGGCTAACAAGTCAAGCCCAAGCCTCCACAAACCCAACATTCTCCCACTTGGAGGCTTGATAGTCATCAACTGCCATCCACCACAATTGCCTATACATCGAGTAATCTTCCTCAGCTCTCCTGTTGCAGCGGCCTTATCATCAGACAACTGAAAGGCCCGTTGAAGCTCTCCCAAGCTCCAACACATCAGTCACGGCAAAGTCTGTCCCTGACTCGTCCTCGGTCCCTACCGGCTCCCACTGCAGACGACTGCCGGATCCTGGAACATCCTGAGAACAAACACTCTCCATACTCAGCAAGAAATTTTCTGGAGATGTTCCAACGGCTGGAATACTGGTTCTCCTGACCCACTGTCTTCTAGGCAACTTGGCTGAAGCGCCTCTTGAGCTCCCACTGCCATAAACACCTCTGACTGGCCCCCCTTAAACCTTTCCACGCTCGTTCATCCTGAGTCTGACCAGTGGCTCTAAGTTTCTCTCTTGCACAGACAACCTTATTCTGCCCACGAGACTCTGTGAACCGGACTTCGTTTTTCTTCTGAACTGGGACGGTCACTCCCTCAGATGGTAACTCAACCATATACAGCGAACCACTCTTTCTTCCGCGGGCCATGACAAGATTTCCCTTCACGACCTTCCACTGCCCATCTCTGAACTTCACCTCGTGTCCCTGTTCGTCCAACTGCCTGACAGAAATCAAACTTTTCTTCAAGGCTGGAACCACTCTGACATCCTTCAAAGTCCATACACCGACTGAGGTCTTCAACACCATGTCACCCATGCCCGTCACATCAAGAGCTCTGTCGTCCGCTAGTCGTACCTTTCCAAAGTCCCCAACAACTAGATTCTGCAATGCTTCACCGCTGTGGGTAGCATGAAATGAAGCACCAGAATCCATGACCCAGGAATACACATTGCTTTCCTCACAGCAAGTCAGAGCGACCTCCTCGTCACTCGTAGAGCCTTGAGCAATGTTTACTTTCTTATCATTCGGACATTGATTCCTAAAATGCCCTACCTCCTTGCATTTCCAGCACGTTACACCTGAGCTGTCACGAGTCTTCGACTGACTCCTTTGTCTGTTCTTGCTCCCACTACCTCTGCTATTTCTTCTGCCTCTA